TTCCCTTTTTTCTTCCCCCCCCCATTTTTTCCCTTTTCCTCACCAGCCCCAGGGGGCAGCGGGGGGGGTCTGGGCCGTGCCCGGGTGGGTTCCTGGTACTCCCCACTTCCGCTTCCGGTTCCACTTCCGGTTCCGGTTCCGGGGGGGATCCGCTCGTAGCGGGGCAGCCCCCGAGCCCCTCCCCCCCCCGTGGCGTTGTTGATGACCACGGTGTCCCCCGAGAGCTGAACCCGCAGCGCCGCCTCCGCCCCGCGGCCCGGAGCCTGCCGGGACACCGGCCACAGCCCGTTAGAACCGGGTGGAACCGGATAGAACCGGCTAGAACCCGCTAGGACCAGTTCTGCCGAGCTTAGAACTGGTTAGAACCCATTAGAACCAGTTAGAACTGGTTAGAACCAGCTACAACCATCTAGAACCCGTTAGAACCGGCTACAACCGGCTAGAACCCGATAGAACCCGTTAGAACCCGTTAGAGCTGGATAGAACCGTCTAGAACCAGCTAGAACCCGTGAGAACTGGATAGAACCGGCTAGAACCCATTAGAACTGGCTAGAACCGGTTACAACTGGCCAGAACCCACTAGAACCCACTAGAACCGGTTAGAACCGGTTAGAACTGGCTAGAACCTGATAGAACCAGCAGCAACCCTTCAGAACCGGTTAGAACCAGTTAGAACCGGTTCTGCCTAGCTTAGAGCTGCTTAGAACCAGTTAGAACCGCTTAGAACCAGTTACAACCAGTTTAGCCTCGGTTAGAACCTGTTAGAACAGGTTAGAACCAGTTAGAACCTGTTCTGCCTCGGTCCATCCCAGTCCCCTCCCAGTTCATCCCAGTCCATTCCAATCCCCTCCCAGTCCTTCCAAATCCAATCCCAGTCCCTCCCAGTCCCTCCCAGTGCCCCCAAGTCTATTTCCAGTTGCATCCCAGTTCTCTCCCAGTCCATCCCAGTGCCCCCCAGTCCCTCCCATTCCCCTCCCAGTCCCTCCCTGTCTGTTGCAGTCCCTCCCAGTCCCTCCCAGTCCATCCCAGTCCCTCCCAGTCCGTCCCAGTTCCCTCGCAGTGACCTTTCCCAGTGGCCCGGAGCACAGGCGGTGCCGCAGGGTGAGGATGAGGAGGGCCAGCAGCAGGAGGATGATGGCGCCCAGGCAGCCCAGCAGCGCCGGCGACTGCCCGGGCTCGGCTTTGGCCACCGGCGGGACCAGTCCGGGCTCCCCGGGGGCTACTGGGAAGGGCGGGGGAGGGGGATGATCCCACCTCGGATAAGCCACACCCCCCACCGGGCCCCGCCCAATTCAGCCACACCCAATGAAGCCACGCCCCATTAAACCTTGCCCTGCTAAGCCCCGCCCACTGAACCCCACCCATTAAAGCTGCATCCAAATAAGCCCCACCCCCATTGACCACACCCAGTTAAGCCCCTCCCAGTCAAAGCCCCACCCAGCTAAGCCCCGCCTACCCTGGGAGGTGACGTTGGTGGCTCCGCCCTCATCGAGGGTATTTTCCAAGATGGCGGCGGAGGGCTCAGGGCTCGGGGGCCACCCGCTGGCACCCGTGGGGTCATCCAGCACCTCTGGGGACGTTGATGACGTCATCAATGGTCAGTGATGTCATTGACAACCAGTGATGTCGTGGGTAATCAATGACATCATTGGCAATCAATGGCGTTATTGTGAAATCAGTGACGTCATTGATTGACAATGACATCACCAGTCAACCAATGATGTCACAATCCAACTGTCAACCCAACACCCAATGAACGACCCCAACACCCAACCATTGACCCCAACACCCAACCATTGACCCAATGACCCAACCATTGACCCCATGATCCAACCATTGACCCCATGACCCAACCATTGACCCCAACACCCAACCATTGACCCCAACACCCAACCATTGACCCAATGACCCAACCATTGACCCCAACACCCAACCATTGACCCCAACACTCAACCATTGACCCCATGACCCAACCATTGACCCCAACACCCAACCATTGACCCCATGACCCAACCATTGACCCCAACACCCAACCATTGACCCAATGACCCAACCATTGACCCCATGACCCAACCATTGACCC